AGGATGCATGGGAGAATAGCTGGGGGGTCAGAGTGGGGGTTAGGCTGTATTATTTAGGTAAGTGATTCGCAATGATGACCCTAAGGAATATAAATTAGAAGCAGAAACCTACAAATGGGAGAAGAGTAGATAGAGATGGGTAGGCAGACAGCAACAAAAACAACAAAAAGGAAGGAAGGAAGGAAGGAAGGAAGGAAGGAAGGAAGGAAGGAAGGAAGGAAGGAAGGAAGGAAGGAAGGAATAAAGAATTCTAATTGCAAAGTTGTCAGAAAGCATATAAGGTCAAATATTCCTATATACTTTCATGGCAAAGCACAATTACGTGCATCATCGGGGAAGGCCAAATTATGCTACTGTTGCTGAACTATTACTAGTTTGGTTTGTAGTAGTAGCTGGTTATAGTTACAGTATTTAGCAGCAACAGAAATGAACATTTACTGAGCACTTGCCATGTATTTTCTTAATTTTATTTTCTTAACTACACCCTATTAGGAAGTTTCTATTCTTGTTTTACACACGAAAACTGGAGCACATGAGGCTGAAGGGATTCATCCAAAATCAGCCTGATAGGTCGGTATTAACGCCAGAATTCAAATCCAGACTATGGCTTTGGATCCCCCACTCAACCACTATGCTATACGCTGACTAAGAAGGCAGAGGAAAATGTTAAAACATTTCAGAGCAGTGGTCGCCAACCAGTGGCCCGTGGACCACTGGTGGTCTGTGAGGTCCGAAAGGTTGGTGACTGCTGTTTTAGAGGGCTTCTATGAAAAACTATTAAAATTAAGAAAGTCTGATACTAAAGGCGATAAACCCTCAACCATCTACAAAACCCCAAGGTTCCCCAAGGACTCTAGACAGCTGAGCTACATTAGAATGAAGTGGATCTGTAGTGAGCTCCATTGCATGGTAAAACCATGTCTTTGCATATTCTAGAGCTGCACTTTCCAACATCTGGCTGCTGAGCACGTGAAATGTGGCCAGCCTGAATGGAGATGTGCTGTAAATAGCAAATAAACACGAGATGTCAAGCATGTGAAAAGACGCTCAACATCATCTCATTAGGGAGTTGCACATCAAAACAACAATGAGATACCACTGCACACTTATGAGAATAGCTAAAGTCCAAAACATTTACAAAACCAACTGCTGGTGAGGATGTGGAGCAAGAACTCCCATGCATTGTTGATGGAAATGCCAAATGGTGTAACTATTTTGGAAGACAGTTTGCCATTTCTTAAGAAAGCTAAACATAGGCTTTCCATACAATCCAGCAATTGAACTCCTAGGTATTGGCAAAATGAATGGGAAACTTATGTCCACACAAAAAATTGCACATGAAAATTTATAGCAGTTTTATTAATAACTAGAGACCCAGTGCACCAAATTCGTGCATGGGTAGGGCCCCTAGGCCTGGCCAGCAATCAAGGCCAATTTGTAGGGTGACCAGTGGGACGATTGGGGGCCCCTGCTGGCACCTGCCTTGGCTGGCCTGGTGCTGCCCACTCGCTCTCCCCCTTCCCCCCTACTCCCAAGTCACCTCCCTCTGGGAGGCGATCGGGGGTGGGGGCCCCACTGGCACCCGCCTTGGCTAGCCTGGGCCTGCAGGCTGGGGGCAGCTCCTGAGCTGAGCGTTTGCCCCCTGGTGGTCAGTGCACATCATAGTGACCGGTCATTCCACTGTTCAGTCGATTTGCATACTAGGCTTTTATTATATAGGATTCCCACAAACTGGAAGTAACCAAGCTGTCCTTCAATAGGTGAATAGGAAAATAAACACTGGTACATCCTTACAATGGAATATTACTCAGCAATATAAAGAAATGAGCTATGAAGCCATGAAAAGACACAAAGGAACCTTGAAGTGCATATTTCTTAGTGAAAGAAGCCAGTCTGAAAAAGCTACAAATTGTATGATTCTAACTAGCTGACATTCTAGAAAATGCAAAACTATAGGGGCAGTAAGAAAAAACGAGTGGTTGCCAGAGGTGAGGGGGCTAGATAAAGAGATGGAGCACGGAGCATCACTAGGTCAGCGAAACCATTCTACATGATGAAATCTTACAGAGAGCACTCTACTGTCAACGACTGACTTCAGGTAATAATAACGTATCAATACTGGTTCACTGATTGTAACAAATGTATCACACTAATATAAAGTGTTAATAAAAAGGAAAGATGAGAGGCAGGAAGTAGATATGTAGGAACGCTATACTTTCTGTGCAATTTTTCTGTAAACCTAAAACTACTTTAAAAAATAGAGTCTACTAAAAATGTTTTAAAATCTTATAGGTAACCAGCCTTCAAAATTACGTGAAAACAGAGCTTAAAGCAAGTTGATTCACATGAAGCCAACATATCACTGGCTACATAAATATTAGTATGGAAAGACATTGACTTAAATTGGGTCAAAAAAGAAAGCCCTCACAAAATTATTCATCATATCTACACCTAAAAGGCTGTACAGAGACACATTAGACTAGACTAGTGCAAAGAAGAACAAGGGGGAAAAGCTAACTGTACTGCAATAAAGAAAAAAAGGGGGGGGGGGCAGGCCACAATACAAAAATAAAATAGGGCTGTTTTATATTGAAAAAAGTATAACTCACAGTAAAGATATGAAATACATGAATCTTTTTGTGCACTGACATATACAAAATGGAAACTGCTGAAATCTCAGGAGAAATTGACAGAAGCACACAACAAAGTAGAAACTTTAATCCATTTCTCTCACTCATCCACAGATGAAATAGTTAAAACATGCAAGAACATGATAGTAATTAAAGATGCTGATTTAATAAATATATATTGAATTCTGTAACCTAAACAAAATATTTCCAGAATCCATAAAATATTTATAAAAATTTACTGTGTAGTAAGCTGCAAAATATAACCAAACCTCTAAGCAGAAATTTTATATGCCACATTGATCAAAATTCAATAAACATGAATCTATATAACAAAGTCTAAATTTAAAAATTCTTCCAAATAGATAGTTTCCCCTAAAAAAAAAAAAAAATCACTGTATCAAAATAAGTAGGATAATAAATACCACATTCCAATTTTGCTCAAGAGCTAACAAAGGAAGCCAAGAATTCCAGCTAAATTCTCCATTCCTTCCCTGCGGCCAAAGCCTACTACCATACACAGTTTACAAGCAGAGACAAGGGAACCATGCTCTTAAATAAATGGTTTTCTTGACGAGCAAACTGAAATGCAACTAGCAATATGGACCCCTGTGAATGGAGAGCCCCTCCAAAGGGCCAACCCACTGGGGAGATCAAATAAGGACCCATCCCAACACCTAAGTTCAAATAAGCTAGAAAGAAAACACTTGCACTACACTGATAAGAAATCCAATGAATTTACTTTATAGATTGTCTTATACCAAACACAACTGAGAAATCCATGTAAGAATTGTAAAACATTTCAATAGATCATAGTTTCTTTAACTTCAATATAATTCTGTAATTCAAATTATAGTCATAGAGCAACTATTTAAAAATGTCAACACACTTGATATACTTCAGGAATATAAATTTTAATAAGATATACTCAATTTCAGAGGCTTACAAACGAATACAAGAGATAGTCCCTATTTTTGGGGTTCAGAATTGCTAATTATATTGGCTGATTATACCTTTCCTTATTAATATCTGGTTTGCTTCATTTACTACTTTCTAATAAGAATATATTGAAATTTCCCAGTTTGATCCTGGATCAGTTAATGCCTCTTTAAAACTTCCTTAAAATAGTTTAGACTATGTTGCTAGATACATACACAGTCAGAATTGTTATATTATCTTGATGGGCTGCTCCTTTTTATCATATAATCTACCAAAATTTCCCTATTGACATGTTTTTGCTTTAAATTCTACTGTTTGATGCCTTGCCACTGGTCCAAATTTAAGTAGGGGAGATAAGAAATTAAAGTAGGGAGACCAATGCAGCAAAGCACTTTCAAGTTCAAGCTATGATGTACAAGCATAGAGATTCTACATTCAAGTTCTACATCCTATATAATAAAGAGGTGATATGAAAATTGACCCTCATGCCCTCGCCCATTGGTCACAAGATGGCTGCCACAGGATGGCTGGTAGGGGAGGGCAGTTGGGGGCAACCAGGCCTGCAGGGGAGGGCAGTTGGGGGCAATCGGGCTGGCAGGGGAGCAGTCAGGTGTCAATCAGGTTGGTAGAGGAGTGTTTAGGGGGTGATCAGGCTGGCAGACAGAAGCATTTAGGAGCAATCAGGCAGGCAGGTAGGCGAGCAGTTGGGAGCCAGCAGTCCCAGATTGCGAGAGGGATGTGATGTTGAACATCCCCAGAGGGGTCCCAGATTGGAAAGGGTGCAGGCTGGGTTGAGGGACACCAACCCCAGTGCAAGAATTTCATGCACTGGTTTTAAAAATAATTGTTTAATGAGGAATACAGTCTAGTGATTGAGAGATAAAACTGAGTCAACGACTGGCAACAAAGAAAACTAATTCAGACCAAAAGAAATAATGCAAAAACCTTGGCACTGAACAGACCAGGAATCAAATCCTGACTCTGCCATCTCCCACTGGTGTAACCTGCAGCAAGTAACAATTCTCCTATGCAGAATGAGGGTCATAATGCTCACCTCACAGGGAGCTAGGAGAATTCAGTGAGAAATCAGGTACGAAACACCCAGCATGGTCCCAACTCATGGTAGGCACTTAATAAACATTAGTTCCCTCCCACTAACTCCCACGCTACTTTTATCAGCAAGCCTCATAAAAGGGTTTGTAATTGCAACATGCATTTTCCTCATGTCTGGATTCACAAACTTATCAGTGTATTTACAAGTAGATTCTGAGATAAGCCTGAGATACACAGGTCCAAGATCTGGTGAGCAACCTGGCCTGCATTAGAGTGGGCGTCTGGTTCCAGGCCAGTGCCTAGAAACACGGGGCCCGAATGCAGTTTGGGTGGCCAGGAGACAGCCAGGAACTAGAGCAGCCAAAAAAGAGGAAGGATTACTTGAGCTTCGGCTCCCGTCCTTCGCTTGTGTACTGCCAGCAGATGAGGCCGATCAGGTCCTGCACCCTGGCACTGGCCATGGTCACCACGGTCATTGGCAGCAGTCTGTCCTGGCTCGAGTGTAAGGGGAGGTAGACATCGATCTTCTTGGTGGCTGTTGTGCCTACATGACCCTGCAGACAGAACACATGCATGAGGGTAAGGCATACACTTCTGGTCATGCAGACCCTGCTGGGCCTCCACTACTGCTCTCCGGCCTGAGCAGCACAGCCATCTCGGATCCTTCTTGTATAGACCTGCTTATGAGCCTGGAAAGATCCCCCAAGTGGAAACACTGTCTAGTTTTAATTTTTTTTTCTTTAATATTCATTTTCTAACCGTCTAATTGATCCAATTTTGCCAGCAGTAAGATAAAGGAGTGGTACAATTAAAACCAACAAATCAGAATGGTGAGCAGATCTGCTGGTTAGTGGCAGGAGACTTTCTTTGCTACTTATTCATTGTGACCTTGGAAAAGTCACAATGAGACCTTGGCATCAGCTGCCCTCCCTGAAAATTGCGGTCTTACTCCTTGAGACCTTGGGAAGCTGCCACACTATCTGGGGAAGCTTTTAAGCCTGCAGCACTACATCAAAGGGCTTTCCTTCTCAGAGACTATGGGAGGCTAATTCTATGATGTAGTGTACTTCAATCATCTGCTATGAAGTTCAAGGGTCCCTAGGCTTCCCTTTTTGCTCTAACCATCATACCACACTGCCAGTCCCTCCCAAACACCTATTCCTTCTCCCTCCCAAACCTCTCACTCCCCTTTGGAACTCCAGCACTAACTGAACATTCCCCCCATCTCTGGCCAGTGTGGCTCAATTGGTTGAAGGCTCAGATGATATGACATCTCCTCAGAGAAACCTTTACTGAAAATTCTATAGAAAGAAGCCACCCTACCAGTGTGGCTCAGTGGTTGAGCATCAACCCCTGAACCAAGAGGTCAGTGGTTCTACTCCCGGACAGGACACAAGCCCAGGTTTCAGCCTCAATCTCCAGTAGGGGGGGCATGCAAGAGGCAGCCAATTGATGTTTCTATCTTTTTCTCCTTCTCTAAAAATCAATGGGGGGAAAATATTATAAAAAAAGAAAGAAGCCCTGACCAAAGTTATTCTCACATATATCCTGTTCATTTTCTTCATAGCATTAATAACTTTACATTATGTATTTGTTCATGTATATTCTTAGTGTACGCCTTCTCCACTAGCCTCTGAGCTTCATGAGGGCAGCTATAATAATGTCTGCTTTGTTTACTGCTCTATACACAATGGCTAGCACTGTGCTTACATAAAAGATTCTCCCTCAAAAAATCTGTTGAGCTGCAAAATGAATGCATAAATAACTTCAATGACTACCAAGATATAAGACAGAAACTCAATAAAAGCTAGTTTGCTCCATCCATCCCTCTTGCCTTTCCTCCACAGGTCTGTTTCCTGGAGGTAGATGGAGAATGGAGGTACCTAAGCAACCACATGGTTCCAGCTTTAACATTATAATTGTATCATTCCAAGGCAGAAAAAAAATAGATCAGAACTAAGGTAAGGAAATACATAAAATCTGTTTTAAAACATTTGAAGAGAAATTCCACATCTCTTATGACCCAGCATCTATTGTAATATTAGAACCATTGATTTTTTTTTAATGAATCTTGTCTCTATGTTATAAAGCAAATAATAAAAAAGCAATTCTCTTACATAATGCATGCTCTCTTGTGCTCTCTTATGCGTACATACACATGCATATACTCACATCCATGCATGTTTTTCAGCCTGAAATAATTCCAATGACTAGCAAAGACATCTCTAAACAGCAAGTGTTTGGCCTTGTTAGGCAATTAAAGGGTTAAAATTAAAATAAGAGCAAGCTTTCTGGAGTTTCTGGTTTGTCACTCCCTTATCACTCTTCTCAACCTCCTTTTACACCCCACCAGTTCTTGTACTTGCTTTTCCTTCTTACATTTTTATTCCTTCTCCTTCCTCTGAAGAACTAGAGCTGAGGGACTATCGGAATAACAGTATCTCAAATTAGGAAGGTTCAATGAGATGACTGATGTAAATGTGCTTCACGAACTGTAGAGTGCTTTAGAAATGCAGAGCAATATGCTAGAAAGGGCTTAAGTTTTAAAATCAGACCCATTTCTATTACTCAAGGTTACATGAGACCAAAGATGGATGCTATAGGAGCCCTAATAATACGTTATTATTATAACAAGAACTGATATTTATAGCTGTTAAATAAATTCGGCAAAATTTATTAAATTTTAAATAAACTCTCACAATCACTCTAAGAGGTAGGATTCTATCATTACCCTCATATTACAGATGAGAAAACTAAGGTGATTAAGGCTACTGGCATCTACTCAAGATCCCATAACCAAGGTGGAGGAGGCGAAATTTAAGCCCAGGTCTGTTTGACTCCAAAGTCCCTGCTTCCAACACCAATGCCTTCTTTCCCAACAGTCATCCTAATGAAATCATTCCCACTTTCAAAGGTTTGGAAATCATCTCCTCGCCTCTGCTCACAATGAACCGGAAGTGCTGCCTAAAGCAGCCTCCTTCGGGGGTGGGGTGAGGGGGGTGGTGGGGAGAGAGCTAGCTCTGAGGGGCCAGCCAAGAAGTGTTCTGGGATTAAGACTCAGAGAATGTCTCTATTTTAAGTTGACTAAGGGCACTATTGTTAAGGAATGATACTCCTATGAATCCCTTTATCCTCTTTATCTCACTGTGAAATAGCAAGTGTGGGGGAAACTATGAGAATAAATATGGTGGATGCTTATTAAATGAAAAAAGTGCTTTATCTTTTTAAGTCTCCTAATTCCATCTGGAGGCACTGACGCCGGGAACGAGTATCTTGCACAAACACTGAAATTACATATTTTTTAATAAGGAGCCTCGTCTGAAAAACTCAAGGCGGTGGCAGTTAGCTCTGTCTAATAGTCCCTGTGTTGCAACATTTAGAGGGAATCATCTAAAATATAAAACAATCCATCAACATAATAGAAAGTAATTAACTTATTAAAAAAGAATAAGGTGACCAAAGGATTAAAAGTATTCATCACACATCAAGGCAAGCCATATTTCAAAGACCCAACATCTTACTATTAAAAAGCAACTAGCAATCATAGTTTCACTGCATGGCAATTTATGTTTCCACAACATGGAACTAGGGAAATGGAGGTATAATTAGAGCATAAGGGGTCAACACAGAGATAGGGAAAACTGGTTTAGCACCATCTTTCTCAGTCACTCATGCATTCAACAAACACCCACCGAAACGCCATGTGGGGCTGTGAAGACAAAATCAAGCGAGACGCAATGCAGATCCTCATCAGATTCACTGTATCCTGGAGGTCTGCGTGTACAACGTAATAAAAAGCTTCAGGGTCTATCGTGTGAGCTCAGAAGCAACCAAGACCAATGGGGGCCTCCCTCCTAGATAAAAAAATGTGCCCTTCCATCTAATAGAACCACCAACCAAGGAAAAGATGCTTACTGTACTTAAACACCAACTACCAAATACACAAAAAGTGAATCGAGGTCCTCTGAGACATGGGATCATAAGTGATTTTAATTTTCTGCTTTATATTTTCTGCATTTTATATAATGAGCATGCATTATTTTTATAATCAGAGACAAAATAGTAAATATTATAATTATGAACAGAAGAGGCGATAAAAAGAACTACCACAGAGGGCCTGAGAGCGTTGAGAGAGGATCCGAAAGGGAGCCCATGTTAAGGCCTCCAGCATGATTTATTAAAAACACACCAGGTGCCAGGTGTGGTGACAGGCTGTTGAAAAAAATGTTTTAAAATGTAATTCAGACACCTTCCTGTGGCAGGCTAAGTGATTTTTATCAAAGAAAATAAAAAGTAATAAACCCGCAAAGAGCTGACAAACTGGGATTTGAACAACTCTCTCCAGGAGCAGCCCCTAATCAGGGAATGCCCCAAATTCAGGTTTTGAAACAAAAAAGTTTGTATTCCCTGTAGCAAAACTATTCCTCAACACAAATGCAATTCCTGAAGATCAGCTGGACTCCAGAGTTATATCACACGGCCTCTCCATGACTTGATGGCTCTGCAAATGCAGCCAAATCTCAACCTCTCCATATCCAAGATCTATTTTCTTCTTCATCCCTTGTCTCTCATTCAATATTCCATCTCACTGAAGGCTTTCACCACCTACTCTGGTCTCAATCTAGGAAATTTAACTCCTCTGTCCCATCTACATCCAAATGCCTCGGAGACATCTCTCAAATCTTTCTCCTCGCAGCACTGCCCTAGTTCATTGCTAGAGTATATTGAATGGAAGTTAAGAGTACAGATTTGGGGTCGGCCAGATCCAGGTTTGAACCCAGACTCTGCCACTTGTTTAGCTGCCAGACCTTAGATGTTGGGTAACTAGCTACACCTCTCAGAACTTCCATTCCCTTGCTTGGAAAGTAATTAAGATGAATAGAAAATGGTACATAGTCAGTGATTTTTCAAAAAGTGCATACATATCAATAGAATGATCAATATTCTTTTAACACGTGATTTTAAACATCTGCATTATATTACAGCATGTAGTGATACTATCAACATACTCCCTGGTTGATACACTGTTTCTGGTATTTCACTATTATGAATAACAGTCTCATAAATATTCTTATGTAAATGTATGTGCACATTTTCCTAGAAGTAGATTATTGAGTCAAAGAGTATGAATGCTTTATGGCTTATAACATATACTGTAAAAGTTTACTTTAAAAAAATATTTTATATTATTTTTAATTTCTTTATTAATTAAGATATTACATATGTGTCCTTATTCCATTACCACTTAACTCCTCCCCCATTCATGCCCTTACCCGCCTATTGTCTGTGTCCACTGATTAGGCCTATATGTATGCATATAAATTCTTGGGTTGATCTCCCCTCTTTACCCCCACCATCCCCTACCTTCCCTGAAGTTTGACGTTCTGATAGAAGTTTACTCTTTTGAAAAGTGTCTTTATGTTAATCATGCAATGTTGATGTTATGAATCATACATCATTGAATTAATTAGTCCATAAGCCCTGGCTGGGTGGCATACCCCACCCAGCATCGTCCCATACACCAAGAGGTCAGTGGGTTCCATCCCTAGTCAGG